TAGGAACAGTTATTGTACCCGCCATAATACTTCGGACCAAGAATTGTAACACCACTAGAGTTTTGGCTGTAACTCGGTCAGTTCGTGGCAGACAAAGCTACCCAGCCCCACAAACGAATCCTTATCGTCCACTCGTTCATTAACAAATCAACTCAGTCGTCACCTTTCACTTCCAGGATGGCTCAGGGACGGAAACTTAGCGACGAGCAGATTGGTATGGTTATCCATGCCTACAAGTTCTTCCTCGCAGAGAAAAATGAGGGTTATTCGCGCGGCAAACGAACGCGCAGTCTTGTTGCCCAGTGTTTGGGCGTTGCATCAAGCACCGTTTCAGCCGTGTGGGCCTCACACATGAAGCAGGAGGGCGCTTCATCGGCCGAGGTGAGCTCCTCCAGCACTATTTCAGTTATATATCACTGACCTCTTTAATTTAATATGCCAAGGAATCACGTGGGCGGCCAAGAAGCTTCAACGACGGGGATGTTGAGCTCGCCGTCAGAGCGTACGTGAACGAATGCAACCACCAGCGCCAACCTATCACTGCGAAGCTGGTAGCAGAAGAGGTAGAGACTCGGACGTCTATTCGTATTGGATATCGTTCAATGTGCCGGTTGCTTAGGCGACTTGGCTACAAGTACATCAAAGGCGAGAAGCGCCACTATCTCGCCGAATCAGCCGCTAATGTGGCGTACCGAGCAACCTATCTGCAGCGCAAACTACTGAATAGGAACAAAAGCAACAATCCCATTCTCCCGGAAGTCTACTTAGAATGAATCATACGTCAACGTGAACCATGTCCGAGGAACGACGTGGCTACCTCCCGATGCGAAGAGATTCTCAGCCAGCGGACAAGGTGCAAGGTATGGATTTATTGTTTTATAAAATATGCATGCGCTTGATCTAAAGTTGTAAGTTAATTTAAATATGTTTTAGAATTTGTATTGTTGCTGCAGGCGTAATTTTTCGCCAAGGAAATAGTTTGAGAGGAAATTTTGATGAAGATTCCTTTACAAGTTGGGTTGCTAGCCGCAAAAGCAATGAAAGTGACTATCACGGTAATTTCAACGCAGAGATGTTCGAGCGTTGGTTTCAAAAGCTGTGCGAGACACTGAGTCAAAAGTACGGTCGCTGCCAGATCTATTTGGATGGCGCTTCCTACCACAAGCGCAACATTTTACCTGCGCCAACAACAAGATCTAAGAAAGCCGATATTCAACGATGGCTTCAGGATCAAGGTACGACTACATATTTAATTCTTCAGCATTATACTTACCAGCGTTGTATACAGGTATTTTATACGATCCAACGGCCGTGAAGGCCCAACTTATCGAGCTGGTGCGCGCGCACAAGCCCTTGCCGCTGTATATGGCAGCTGTGATAGGAATCATGTACGGCCACACCATTATTTACACGCCCCCATATCACCCGGAGCTTCAACCCATTGAGCTGATATGGGGGCAACTAAAGAACAGTATTGCTAGCGCCCCAGCCCGCAATATTGCCGAGCTTGAGGCCAAGCTGGAACATGCGAAGCTAGCCCTCCCGAAGAGAAGCTAACAAGTACAGACACGTGCAGAAAGTTGAAGATAAGTACTTAGATGCAGTCGACACAGAGGAGATCGCGGGCCTGGAGGAGGACAACGTCGAGGAGATCTCAAGTTTGGATGACAATGACGAGGAAGAGACGTAGCTCAGACCTGTATAATTTTGTTAAGACGATTTTGGATACACTTGTAAAGTTTCATTCCGACGTGCACGTTTGTACCACACAAATGATACATTAGCCTAACCACCTATATGTTTGACATGTGGCTTGTTGTCTGAGCCAATGAACAGGTCGCAAATAGATGAATCATCGGCTAAACCTAATTGAACCCTTTCCCCAAACTTTGGCACTTTGAAGACGACGTTTTGTAAGAGAACAATGAGGTAGAAGGAGTACGAATTCGTCAAATCTGACTTCAAATTCGGAATCTACGGGTGCGATTTACCTATATATCTAAGTATCGTATATGGAAAGTTATAATCTTCTACGAGTAAATTGCCGTCAAATCTTGGTCCGAAGTATTATGGCGGGTACAATACGTCGACCTATTCTCGGTCACCGGAACCCTCGCTCAAATCCTACGGAGAAGCTGTCTCATCTTCGTACGCTAAGTCTTCCGATTTAACGTACACTCGACGCTTCTTCGCTCCCATTGCACAAGCCTTGCCTCGTGAAAGAGAAGGTTTGCTTCTTAACCGCTTCGATCGTACTGTTGCCGAGGGGGGGGGGGGACTTTGAACGAGCCTTGGTCACTAAAATCGCAGCTCGATTTAACGTTTGATTTGTCTTTATTTTACGTTGTGTTCTTGGAGCCGGGTGCCGATCCGATCGTCTAATTCTGTACAGTAAAGCCGGAATATCTATACTTTAGAATTATGAGCAACCGGCTCCTCCTGGTGGACGTAGTCACTCTCGGGGAGGAGGAAATGTTAGAAACACCAGCATTTAGTTTTGTCAGTACTGCATGGTGCTAGGGTCGCTTCTACGATGCTGGCACTACAGGTTTGGTGTTTTTGAACAAATCCCGGTGTTTAGGGTGGGTCCTCCTCGGGGAGACATTCCGTTTTAATGCGCTGCATTAGTCGTACATCATCCAAAGCTACTACGATTGGTTCGCGCCTCGGGGTCAGGTTATCAAGGCCCCCACGCAGCAATCTAATTGACGATTAAATCTGACAGGTGTGCAAATACTTCGGTAAATTTCAATTAAGTATAATTTCCGTGAATTAAATCTGGAGATTTGCTAGGCCTAACATAATTCAAAACAAAAAGATTTCTTACAAATTCTGCGTGACGCAAAACTTGATAATACATATACTCAATCTGCGATAGGCTCATATATTTCATGCGAGCGTCCACCTCAGCTAAGTACGATAATATATTAGCCATCGGGAATGGAGCGTGGTCAATCACTAACTTTTATAAAATTATAAATTGATATTAATAAAAAAAGTGGATAGGGATTTTAGGATATGTAGCGCATGTACATGTAACTATTTTCTTGGAATCTTAGAAATACTAGCGGCAACTATTATACAGTGGACCTACTGTAGTGAGTCCCTGTAGCTGACGACACTACCAGAGCACCAGAAATACGATGTGCTCCAAGGACGGCATTTATTTAACTTCAATATCAAGACAAAATCCGCTGTTTCTCAAATCTCAGAGCTCCTGCGTGCACCGTGCGCCAGTCAAACTAGGCAATAAAGACAGCAAATATTAAAAAAAACAGCTTCGGAGCACCTACGCCAGGCTCGGAGAAGACGTAGTAAAACAACCTCAAGGTCGATAACGCTCCTCGAGTCGAGATGGAAATGCATTGAGCACGATCAGGATGAAGGCATGGTTCGAGCCATAATTTGTGTCGGTGGGTCTTTGATTGCGCGTCTAAAAGCTGAATAAAGATGATGAGGCTATGCATTTTTTAATATTGTGCGTAGGGTCAGCGAGGTCGACGAGCTTGACAGTGAGAGGAAAGCATCACAGAAACTCGTTCCTCTCCGTCGGCAAGATTCCGGAGCCTTCTCCCATCGTACTGTCGGTTTGAGCTCCTGGCATTTCTTAAATAATGTAGCCACTGTTCCGCTGGACACACGATGACAGTCGCTGCACCTTCGTCGCCATGACTTGTTCGCTTCTTGCTGTCAACATGATAACGCCCAAGTACTAAGGCACGTGCTCATTTTTGGTCAGATAATCAACCTTTATCAGCGAATTAGCACGCGCGAAAGGGGCGCAATCGCTTGAAGATTACCCACAAACGGTTTTGTAAATATGTAACTAAGCTTTTACGTAAATTTGTAGAATACAGTAGTACAGTACATGTATGTGCTTTTATCACATTTTTGTAGATCGCAGGCCAAACGGCGGGTGAGATTGCTCCCGTGTTTCAGACTTTAGCTCCGAATTAAAAGTACAGAATGTACGCCATGCCGTCATCGCAGAGCTCCTGTATTTATACAGAAGTCCCTCTCAATCTGTGACCCTGTAAAATACAATATCATTTGATTACTTATCGTCTCTCGAGTGAAATTCTCGCTGTTGTTCCTTCATTATTATATAACCCTGCTGGATACCTACTCGGATCCCCACCGCACATTTGAGAGAGACTTCTGTACCTACAGCGACTGTACGGTGTTTGCGCCGCCCAAATCATGGATAATATTTGAGACAGCGGCCCGTTTCTGCTGAAATGGAGTCAACAAACTGCCTTACAAACACTCATACAATTTGCGGCTACAGCCGTTTTCGCGCCCTTGGACCTTTGATAAACTTCCGGATGTGATGATCCTGAATCCAAATGAACTGTAATTTGCTAGCTAAAATATGATTTATTTGCGAATCCTATATGGTTCACCCCCGCGAAAACGGGGTGCAGTACTGTACTGTACAGACAATTAAAACTGCCAGTGCCACTTTAGAATCGATCTCAGCAAGACTTGACTTGCTGAGCAAGTCACACAGCCGCCTTAACTAATTGAGAAAAGCCACAGCCATCATCCTCTAAATGTAAATGCACATAAACTTTCAGGTGCTGCAAACTCGTCACACAGCAACCAACTGCAATGACACTTTGTCTGACTAGGAACTGGAGCCCTACCACCGAACAGAGAGCGGGACGCCACATAACCCAAAGTCACACAACAGCCATCTGATTCACGTGGCGGTCGAAGGTGACCTGGCATGCGGCGCACTGCGCTCTTCGTAGTTCAACAGAAATGCACTGAAATGTAGCAATGCAGATCTTTATATGACGGCCGCCTCCATTGTGGCCATCTACTAATTGTATTTTTGACGGGAATGGCGTTGATGGTGTGGTGGAGTTGTCTGACCTCGTGGGGTAATCACCCTAGTCTCAAATGTAGTAATCACGAACGGCGTCAACGATTGGCCAATTATCAGCTCACCTGGTGCAGAAGCCGTTTTTTCTCGCCTTCATTCCCGATTTTCAGCCCGTTAGCTCAGGTCAGTCTTGCTCAGAGTCAGGTCGAGTGAACCCACACCGCTTTTTCCTTCATTTCCAATCTGTCAGCCCGCCAGGTGTGGAACCACCCAGACGGACAGGCTTACCAGGACAACAGCGACAGTCTAACGCAACGCCTTTTAAAACCAGACAGACAGGAATCGCCACAAACGGCAACCAGCGAACGACGTTCACGACCGCACAACCAACGCAGTACCGCCAGCTCGTCATTGTCGAACCTTCTCGGCCTGCTCCATGGGCCTTGAGCCGCCTCTTGTAAGCAACAACCACCGGCCCTCCCCCTCCTCCGCCATGCAAGCTCTTAACAGCTGCAGCAACCAATCGGCAGGTCTGTATGACTCGCCGGCGCGGCCAGCCTCGCCCGCGTACGCCAACGACATGGACGACGTTTCGTCCAGCGACTCCAGCGACAACAACAACGACTCGTCACAAGTCGAACAGCTACTAGTGAACCACTTACGCTTCGCACATGCGTTCCGCAAGAACGACGCTGCCATGATTCTACAGTTTCTGGCCAAGGACGTGACGCTCGTGTCAGTGGACGGCGCGCGTCACGAAGGCCAATCGGCTGTGCTCGCGTACCTTGTGGGCGCGCGGATGACCAAGATTAGCTCAAACTTGCATATTAAGGGCTGCCCCACGCGCTCAGGATCGTGCCAGTCCACTTTCATCTACGAGCACGGCATCGTATTCAAAGACCCGCTGTTCATGGAGGTGCTGGACTGGAAACCCAGCAGTGGGACGATCGTGCGGATAGCTCACGTCGCTCTACCCGATGCAAAAAGTGGCAAGACTCCAATGGACTTTGGCAAGTCGTCGCCGCTGAGACTTTCGTTCGGAACCAGAATGTCGGACGAGGAAGATCCGAGCGAATATTACGAGGATTCGGACTGCAGCGAGACGTGGGAGTCCGAGAACAACCACAACAACAACAACAGTACCATAAAGGTGCGATGTCGACGTCTCAAGTCCAACAGCTCAGCTGACTGCAGTAGCGTCGCCATGACTGCAGTTACGGCGGCAAGTTTGAGATTATCCAGCTCCAGCAGCAGCAGCCAAAGTGGAGCCAACGAGGTGGCTGTGCAGCCACTAGCATCTGATATTGTGGTCTGTACAGGCGGCAAAAAGTACATGCCGACGATCTCGCTGGCTGAGATTTCGTGCAGGGGGCTCACTCCTATCCGTAAGCGCAAGACTGTGAACCCATTCGTGCTTCTCCAGTGTCCGCAGACTGGATCAGTATGGAAGAGCCCCGTCATGCGTCGAGACCCGAATCCAAAGTGGAACCATATCCCAATGAAGATTCCCGCCCACAACCTCGCCGACGTGGTGGAGATCTCGCTCTGGGACCACTCGTTCTTCCGTTCGGTCAAGGTGGCTGGAGCGGCTCTTGTCGTGTCCGATCTCCTCAAGGACAACGTCGACTTCAGCACCATTATCCAGTTGGAAAGGTTCGAGTCAGCTCGCGCTGCTGGCGAGCCTCAGCACGTGACATTGCAGCTACGATTCGTGCGACCGTGTGGTGGTGACGTGGCTGTCCGCTCCTCGGATGAAGTGGAGCAGAACCACGCACAGGTGGACCAGTCCGAGCTAAGCAAGTCCGACATGACAGCGAGCTCAGCGCTGAGCTCCAGTTTGAAGTGGCTGATGGTGGATACATTCGTCGACAGCCACCACTCCAGCTTGCTGCTGATGCTCGTCCGTGCAGCTATCGTCGCAGTGATCGTGTGGATATTGTTCCACGCCACACTCGTGTGGCCAATGCAAGCGTAAATAGGAGAGAATTAGGTAGAAAGCGGCCAAAAGAAAAGAGCAGTACCCTCAGTAACAAAAACGCCATGTAAATTATAAACCTTTGACAATCGATAACTCTCCTTTTCATCTCTTTGCTTTGGATACATTCCGGTACTGACTTCGCTGCGTGGGAATGCTTTGTTGTCTAACATTCAGGGCTTGACGAACATTGGTGTAAACTCGCTGTGAGTCACGTGGAACAGCGGCGTAAACATGTCGTCACGAGAGCGCAGATCGGCCCACGGCACCCAGCTCCAGCCCTCGCACTTGTTATGCTCCATGTTCTGGACGGTCTGCTCGTCATCCACGACCGCCTGCATGAGGATCGTGATGTAGTGCTTGCCCTCGTCTTCCATCGGGTCGTTCGTTACTGTAGCGAATGTGACCTCCTTCAGATCCAGATCTGTCCCAATACCAACTCGAATTGGTTAACGTCCACCGCAAAGTAACGTACGGGATGCAAAGTACAGCACCTGTCTCCTCCTTGACCTCTCGAAGCGCGCAGTCCTCCCAGCTCTCGTACATTTCCAAATGTCCACCTGGAAGAGCAAACTTGCCTTCACCATGTGAGCCTTTGCGTTGGCCGATGAGCACGCAGTTTGGGTGTTTCTTCGACATCAGCAAGACTCCCACACCCACACGGACGACTGTTTTCTGCTCCTTCAACTTGGCATACTCTGCCTGGAGCGCTCCCATACTGCAATGCACACACAATAACCCACCACAAAGATGAGACAGAATCAAAACTTCTTCGCTTCATGAGATCCTACCGGCCCGTCTCCGAAGTGTCTTGCGTCTCGAGAAAATTGATGATAGCGTCCAGGTTGGACGTGGAGCTGAGCTCGCTCCATTGACTGATCTGGCTTAGCTGGCTTAGCTGGCTAATAGGTTCGGTGAACCCGTCACCGCTTGGTTGGAAGTCGCCATTCCACAGACTTCCCTCACTTTCTTCCTCCGCTGTCGTGTACTCCCTAGGAGACTGAGACAGCACTGACGTGTCCGTCTCAGCGGCGGGAGGAGAACTCAACCGAGGTGACGAAGTCTGCACCACACTTGTCGTAGGCTGGCTACTCGACTGCGTTTGCACAATTATTAATAATACAGTTAACATTTAAGATAGTGTTCAAAAAGTATCCAAGCTTGGGATGGACGCACCTCACCGACGCTGAGCTGGCTGGAACACAGCAGTGAGTCGTCCTTCTCAATGTATCTCATTAGCAGCACCTTCATCTTGGCGTTCTCTCGGGCCTGCACGCTCATTTTTGCCAATGACGACGATTAGTTTGGCAATTACAATTCTCTGGTGTGGCGTAGCCAACCGACCGTGAGCACGAGTTTGCGCTTGGCTACTTGCAAGGCCGAGCGACAGGCCTCAAGCTCTGCTTCAGCATCGCGTAGTGTGCGGCGTTTCTTTCTGGGGGCCTCGTCGGTCGGCACGGGAGGAGGAAGAGGGCCCATGATCGCTGTTCCCGCGAAAACTTAGGCGGTTTTATAATTTTTATAAATGAAATAAAACAAACTCGCAGATAAATCGAACTAGCCACTGAATTTATAAATCGAGAGGTTAAACATGTATTCGAGTGTGACGTGGCCTCAAAAAACATACAATGTAATACATTATTCATCGTATGTTTATTGAGGTCATGTGGTGCCACTACATGTAATATATTGTATTAACTAGAACCAAACGGTTCTCTATCTTCTTCACCTAAAAGATGGCCCTACGAGCTATTAATGCATCCCTTCAGTGAAGCATTATGTGAAGCTGCTTCACACACTAACTTCTTGCAAGTCCGCAATACAGCTTAATTCACTCGCGTCACGCAATGTTCTACACAGCTAAAGGCAAACGGCCGATTCGTAAGTAAGGACATCGTACTACCCAGTCACGTTTTTAATGACATGTATTTTTATTCGGGAAATTATCGGGAGGATAATTATAATATTCTGAAGGAAGCGTGTCAAAACCAAACCTTGATCAGCGGGCAATATCTACAGGGCCTTCAGGAACTGAAAAAGGCATGGAGCCGGGCTTGGTGGGTAATGAGTACGGTCTGCATTGCATTCCTATGGATGCAGCGAAATCGATCAAGGAGAGATGACTACAGTAGAGACGACGAGCAAGCTTTGACAACATTATTGCGACAATTAGACGCTGGAGCGACGCAGGCAACAAGAGTGCTTGCTGACTACATGTACTACTTAAAGTACCAGCTTTTGTGCCGTGTCCACAGCAATGCTTGCAACAAATGAGCAGGGGCCGCCGTACTGTGATTGGTGTGGTCTCGCAAAAGACAAGAATGACGGTAATTTTGGACTGGTCGACCGTTGTTGCACCACTCGCCAAGATGACAACTGCCCCGAACGAGAAATCTCCGCTGCTGAAGGAGCACTCCGCGGCCTCACTGGAGGACCCGCAATCTATGCAAGGCGCCACGATCTGGGAGCTGCGCGTACTGCTCATCCCCTGTAGGACTTGTCTTCTCAGCTTGATTGACTTAAGAGTATCATTGCTAACTCGAACTTTTGAATGGTACGACTGCAGATTTCTGGCCGAAGACATGGGGGTTGGTACGACTGATGCAATGATATTTTTTCAATGTTAGTAGCTGAGTGATGCTAACTTTTGCGGAACAGCGTCTTCGTGTGCTTGTCTCGTTCTCCTTCATGTTCCTGTCACGAGGGTCGCGCATTCTGGCGCCGTTGTTCCTGAAGGAGGCAACGAACGCAATCTCGGAGAGTCAATTCACTCGTGTCCCGACATTCGCAATCGCAATGTATTGCCGTACGTACTTTACTTAGTGCCCCCCCCTTTGTCCGAAAACGATTGTGATACTATCGATTGGGGCAGTCACGCTGTTTGGATTCGCCGCTGCGAAACAATTGCAGACGTATCTCTATATGGTGGTGAAGCAGCACGCGTACCAGGATGTTGCCGCTAAGGTATTGATTACCGCATTCTATTTAATAGAAGCGACAGCCAAGAACCTACTGACTCTGTTTTTGCCGGTAGTTGTTCGGACATTTGCACAGTCTTTCAATGAACTACCACCTCACTAAAAAGACTGGCAAAGTACTGCGCTGTCTGGACCGAGGCTCTACGAGCACGGACAACATTGTCAACGTCATTTTCTTCCGACTGCTTCCCACTTTTATTGAGCTTGTGGTCGTATCCATCGTCTTCATTTTCTCGTTCAAGGAGAAGATTTTGTCCGTCGTGACGATCATTGGAGTGGTGCTCTACGTTATCATCACTGCCATGGGCACCCGGATCCGCCTGCGCTTCAAGAAGCAAACCAACGAACACGATAACCAAGCTAGTGAGAAGGCCGTAGACTCGCTTGTGAACTTCGAGACGGTCAAGTACTTTTGCACTGAAGACTACGAGCTGGACAGATACATGTCGAGCATCTTCCTCTACCAGACGTCCCAATTGTCCACGAGAGGCCTCATGAACGTTATTGTGGTGGCTCAACAGCTCATTCAACAGACCTGCCTGGGCACGTGTCTTCTGATCTCGGCCCGCAACATTTACTACGGTGTCATGACTGTCGGTGACTTTGTCGCTGTTACCGTGTACATCACGAACATCTTCAAGCCGCTGGACTCGCTGGGCAACATCTACAACACCATCGTCCAGTCGTTTGTGGATATAGAAAACCTTGTTGAGCTGCTGCGTATCCAACCTGAGGTGCAAGATAAACCAAACGCACCGGCACTGGAGGCTTCCCCGACCGCCAGCACCGTGTCGTTCCACAATGTGTGTTTCAGATATCCGAGCCAGCCAGTAGCTAACGGCCTCAAGGACGTGAGCTTCACCGTGCCGACAGGTCAGACTGTGGCAATCGTAGGCTCGACTGGTTCCGGCAAGACGACTACCAGTCGACTGCTTTTCCGCTTTTACGACGTGCTGTCGGGTAGAATTTCCATCAACGGCCAGGACATTGCGTCGGTGCGACAGAAATCTCTCCGCCGCAGCATTGGCATCGTGCCACAGGACACAGTCATGTTCAATGACTCCATCCGCTACAATGTACGTTGTCATGGCCTGCGGTCGTGGTTTTCGAATATCTAGTAATATTTTGTTGAATGTTGCGTCTAGCTCACGTATGGACATCGCCACTGCTCAGAGGAAGAGCTCGTTGCAGCCGTGAAGGTAGCAAACATCTATGAGTTCATCATGTCGCTGCCAAACAAGTTCGACTCGCAGATTGGTGAGCGTGGCCTCAAGCTGAGTGGCGGTGAGAAGCAACGCATCGCCATTGCACGCCTCGTACTGAAGAATCCGTCAGTCGTCGTGCTGGATGAGGCAACTTCATCGCTCGACACGGTGACCGAAAAGAGCATCCACCTGGCTCTCAATGCAGCTTGCAAAGGACGCACTACCATCATCATTGCTCATCGTCTGTCAACTGTGCGTCACGCGAACAATATCATCGTGCTCGAAAAAGGTCATATCGTGGAGACTGGAAGTCACGCCCAATTACTCGAGCATGGAGGCCGTACGTATCCTAGTTTGCCCTGTTGCTTTTTAGTTTAATCTGATACTAACCTATCGTGGTTTGAAAGGCTATCTCCAATTGTGGACTCAGCAATCTCGTGAGACGGAGTAACTGCCAGTGGTAGCTCAACAATAACTTCTAAACATGGCTACATTATTAAAAACTGAAGTATTTTAAGAAGTAAAACAGTAGCATCATTTCCCAATAAATGACGCTTACCAAATCGCACTTAGCGTGCTATGTGCTGTTCGATTGGAGCTCACTTCTGAAAACGCTAATAACTGAGCAATATGGCTACTGCTGGGATGCGCTTTTGCCGCGAGTGGTGAGTCCCCCCTGTAGCTTCATCCGCTGCCTTTTCCTCTTGTATTACGCAGTATACATCCGTGGCGTCGGTCAGCTCTCACCTCAAGCACCGAGCTGGGCTTGGGAGTAGGATCGTCGATAAAAAGGCTTTGCCCAGGAATCGTTCACTGACCAATGTGCACTTTGTCCCGACAGCAACAACATGTTATACCCGAGCCAAGACCGCGAGATTCGTCGGCTAGTATTCCGATGTCGCAATTGTGGACAGTGTGAGGACGTGGAGGAGAACTGTATTTATGTCAACGAGTTGGTCAAGGACACGCGGTGCGTCAACTGCCTTTAGTCTCATCATGTGGAGACCGTGCGTTATCCACCTTAATATTTCTGCCACTGATTGGTCCTCTACGTCGTGTATTTGCTGCTGTATTTCTAGTGTGCAGTTGGACGTGCTCCCCGGAGACGTGATCGACGACCCGACCCTGCAGCGCGACTACGATGTGGCGTGCCCCAACTGCGGCCACAACGGTGCCGTATTCATTCGCTCGCAAGATGGCGTCAAGCAGTCGACGCTTGCCCTCATCTGGGTGTGTCTGAACCGCGATTGCCAAGTGGACGAGGAGGGAAACCGCTTGCCATCGTATCGCTGGATGGGAAGCTGAGCGGTGACTTGCATGCCACATTTGCAGCGGACGCAGACCTTTACTTTCAAGGATGTAACAATGCAACACTAGGTGACCGACCACACAATGGGTGTTTGCATTATGCTATTGAGACGCACAAAAGAGTGAAATAGAGCGCTGTGCTAATTGTGGGCTCCGCTATGTTAAGAGATGAGTCCGTGCCGTAGCTTAGCTGAAAAAAAATGTCCGACGGCTTGTAGGAAAGACCCTCCCATATCTTCATGGTTCATACCGACGACAGCTTGGTATTAAAATGTTTGTGGTAGGCTCAGCAATCCTAAGTGAAAGGTCAGTAAGACTTTTTGAAAGCGAGAACCTGGTAGAGCCCCGCAATTTCCCACTCGGCGTCCGAAATGGATCCACGGATATTGGTCACGTGCATCTTCTCCAGCAGCGTGCGGTTGCGATCCTGGTCCTTGCGCTGCTGGATGAAGCGGTGGAAGTTCTGCTTGAGCAGCAGCTCAAAGCCGTGCTCGCGCAGGAGCTTGGCCAACAAATCGTCCGGCACCAAGTACTCAGGGAGGTCGACGGCCTGGCCACCGCCGCCGTCAGCGTCATCCTCCACGCGATCGCGCAGAGTGAAGTTATACCGCAGGCCGAAAGATCCTTCCGCAGCGGCATCGGGACCCGACAACTGCGTTCGTGTGGCTGCGTCAAAGTGGATACAGCACACCTCCCGCTTCTTCTCGTCCAGAATGCTCACGTCTGGCTTGTTAGCCTCCTGGTCCTCCTTCTCCTGTTCGGGTGGTCGCAATCCCTGGAAATACTTCATCAACAGCTTGTTCGGGTCTACCGTCGTCGCGATTAAGACGCCTCCATCTGCGAGTAGCTCGTGCACCGTGGAGAAGAACCGATTTGCGCGTTGGGCGTCACCAAACATATAGTGAAACGAAAACTGCACCGACACGACGTTAAAGTTGCCCATTGCAGTAGTCGGAAGCGGCACCGCATCATGCCAGCCTTCGTGCTCACTCCAACAGTGCATCTCGTCTCGCAGCAAATCTACAACACCCAAATCGCCCTGAATAAACTGCACTTCGGTCTTCTTCCTGTCCCGATCCCGCCCATTGCGCGAGAACGAAGTGTATCTCTCCACCGCGTCTTCCAGCGACTTTTGGGCGATGTCCACACCAACATATTGGGCCAGATTCCTCTTGGTCCACTTCATCAAGTCTCCACCTTTACCACACGCCAAGTCCAGCACGCAGTCTCCCTCTCGTCGCGAGTATTCGTTGATCAGGACTGACTTCACCCAGTTGTTCAGCGCGCGCATGTGGAACAGCAAACTGTCCGCCCTGTCACTCTGCGCACGTCGTTGCAGTTGATTGTAGAAGGCCGCAGCAGCGTCCGGGTCTTTGTCCTTGTCGTCGTCGTGGCCTCTAGACATGGCGTCAAGCGACCTCTTGTTGCCATTATAATTCCCCCTCCCTTCACTCTGCTGCGGTCTCTCAGGACTCGATACCAAGTTGGAAATCTTCATCGTCCTCGGTGCTTGAGCCATCGGTGCGCGGGGAGACTCCTCTGCGAGCAAAAACGCACAGATTAGCGCATTGACTCAACAAAAAACGGGTAGAATAACTCTACCGCCCTACCTCGTGTCTGCTCTGCGCCTAACGCCGGAGGACCAGGACTCAATAAGTCCATTAACGAGTTAGATTTCTTTCTTACGAGCCGCGGCGGCTCGCCTGAGTCTGAACGTCCAAGGCCACCAGGTGATGGCGCACTGGGAGATTCGGTGTCATCGTAGGACGGGGCCGGGACGGGAATTGGCTCCGGAGACGCAATATCACTTTTTATTGCGGGAGGTGGTGGTGAGGGACTTGACGCCTGACGCAGCACGGGTCTGTCGTACGAGATGGTGGCGTTCTTGTCTTTGACGTGGAAGTAGAAACGATGGCCGTCACGATCAAACTGGTGCGACCAGCCACGCGGCAGCTCGTCGTCCACCCAGTAAACCTTCTTGGTCTGCGTGTTGTAGTAATACGGCATGTTCTTGGAGCGCGACATCGTCACTTCCCACTCCGCCGGCAACTGCTCTTCCGCTACCAAAAACGTCCCCATGTTTGTCGATTATGAAAATTTGTGGATTAGAAGAAATTTATGGAATGTGCCAAAGGTTTTTAATTTTATTTTCGAGCTAAGCAGATCAGTTTATTTAGGCTGATTAGAAAAGCAGCATTACAGGCGCTCAATAAATAAACTAATCGTGCATCATGCACACAGAGCAGAATAAACGCTAAGGTGTTTTCCTGGTAGTGCTACTGTACGAGTAGTAGTACGTATCATATTTCATGGGCTTACCAATTGTAATAACACCAAGCAATTTTCCGCAAACGACATAATTCGACGAAATTAAATGCCGCTGGTTTTCATTCGCTTAAATAGAAAAACCTAGTATTGTGGGTACTCAAAATTTTCAGGGCCGATTGACATGCCTCTAGCCGCAAAAAATCGCTCCACTACCAAACAACATAAAAATTGACAGATGAGAGTGGTTTTCTCGCTTTACATCATTGTTCAAGATAAAGTCGACCTCGCCAACGCAGACACCTCAAGGGCGAGTGCGAACGTCCCCGTACCCGGAACGACGCCGTAGTCCAGCGTCAACTGAGGTATACCAACCAGCATCATCTCACGTTTACCGGTTGGTCATGCAGCCCATTGTGAAGGAGACGGTAGGCGAGCGAGACAGCTCTGGTGACTCTCTTGACCCCTTTGTAGCAGGTGGAACTTCGTTCCAGGACATTCTGGAGAAAATATGGGCGGAATTCAGCCCTCATGTTAAAGGGAGGGCAGTGAAGTCCGGTGGGATTTGGACTGTCGAGCAAGCTGCGATTGACTCTTGGTCCAAGTTCATGGTGTTCAAGGTGAAAAAATCACATCGTCGACAGCTCAAAATCCAACCAGGACTGGAGCACTTGGCTTCAATCAATGCATGACAAGACTGCCACGCTTCTCATCTATGAAAATGGCGTCAGTCTCGGAAGAAAACAAGATCGCCAAGCTTTCCAAAAGGAGTGCATTCTCCCAGCCGAGACTGACAGGGCCGGCGCAGCTGCTGAAGTCACACTTCGCGAGGTTGTGGGGCGCCTACAAGACTTTTGGAGCGCCACATACACAGGTGAAGCTGTGGTGTGGCGTATGTGGGCTACTGAGGTGGTTCGCAGTCAGGATCGTTCCACATGGGACGATAAAATACGTGCTCCACCACCTCCACATATTTTGCGACTCTTGCGGACTACTGATTATCGTGTCCAAGAACACGTCAATGATCTTCACCGGTCGACACAAATTGCTCTCGACGTCGTGAACGCATCTATCGCTGGGTCAACAGAGTTACGTCGCGACTGGGAGATGTATGGTTGCCGGTTGGAGAGTTTTGAGACGATGTTGCAGGCTCGTAAGGTCCAAATTGAGTCGCTCCTCCATCACATGCCTCTACCAGACCCTGGAGAGTTGGTCGACCCGCTGCAGAACATGGAACATCTTGAGGACTTTGAGCACCAATAATTCAGATAGTTTAAGCGAGCGTGCTATCATTCACTTCTTTTTTTTTCTTTTTAGCTAAGCGTACGAAAGCCTAATGCATCCTCGTCCAATTCTTCTTCTTCCTCGGAAACGTCCTCCCTAAAATCTGGTACTGCGCGTGACTCTGTTGACAGCGGCCCCACAGGATTGAAAGTTCCATCGACCATCCAGCCGCAATGTTCAAACACCCGAGCCATATTAAAGTTCACAAAGCGTCGAAATGTGTCAACAATAAATGGCATTAAGTCACGATTCGTGGACTCCACGTAGTAGCGCTGAAAGGCTTTCTTGACGTAACCAAAGAGAAATTCGATGGGATTAAAGAACGGGCAATAGGCAGGTAGGTACAATTCCGATACTTCTTAGATAATGCACAATTTCAGGGTGTCGATGGATGGATGCACCATCTAAAATCCAAACAGAATTTTTTAGTTCTGGGGTAAGGTCGAACACTAGAGTACGCAAAATCTTGACAACATCGAACAAACTCTAATCGGTCAAATGTTCCAACAGTGTCATAGTAGTCAATAATGCCATTGACACCAATAAACGCAAGCATGGAGACTCTGGGTTTCGCTGGAACTCACCCCGAATAGCCACCTTTTGACCTCGAAGTGCGTAGCCTCTCTTTCGCATCATTCCCCTGTTATCGAATGAAACTTCATCCAGAAAAACAACATTGTAGTAGGTCCAGTTGATGTGACTCAGCTCCTCCACAAACCGAAAGATGTCTCGCTCTTTGATTTGAATGGCTCGGCGTTCCAACACTTTCCAAGTTAGCCCAAAAGCGTGAATAACTCTCCATACGGATGTTTTGGAAATGGTGAGCTGAAAGTTCAAGCGAAATGCAGTTTGTGCCTCGTCCAGATATGCTAAAGGTCTCTGCTCAAAAAATACTCGAAGCCATGAGCGCTGTTCTACCGTAAATTTCCGGTCTGACTTTGACGTAGCGCGTTGGTAGGTCCCCGTAACTTCATACACACGAATCCAGTTTCCTATTGTCTGCTGTGTTTTGTTGTAGATGTGTGCCAGTTCCTTCCTGGAATAGCCAAGATAGTAATAGCCGTACAAGCAGTGGAAAACTGTGTTGGGACTAGCATGTTGCCGAGTAGCTGCTTCCTCCATCGTGCTAAAGAGTAGCAAATGTTGTTTAGCAAATCGTTGACGTATCTACCAGCATCAAAACACAAGATTGACAATAGTACCAAGTGTACGGGTGCGTCCTTGGAGATCCAGGGCTGCAAGGAAAGGTGCTGCAAAAGAAGCATCCAGCAGTGCAGCAGTGCAGCAGTCCGGTTCGTTCCGCGTTAAACGGCAATCCTAATTGACCAATCAGAGCGCGCTGTTGATTTGGGCGCGATGCCCACGAATCGATCGAGAATTCCAAATATACTCGGAATCCACAATATTTTGCTGGTGTTTTGACAGCAATAGAGCTAGAACCTAAAGTCCCCTATCCACCGAGCACATTTCAAAGCTACAGTAATTTATAGGTATATAAAATTTAATAGGTGCAAGTCACACCCCCAATTCTCTAGTTATTAGACGGCGTTAGAGTTCAGGTTTCCAAAATACCTAGTAAGTGAATAGGTTTACTCAAATGGAGGCATCCTCAGGCTCACTTCTATTAACAGTTTTCGACATTTGGCAGATAGTAATCATTTATGAGATATATTTCGGCCAAACATCTTTTCACAGGTATCGACAGCTTGGATACCTGGAATAGTCCTGTGTGCGCTACTCGGTCAAAAGTCGGAGTGACAAGGAATCTGCCGTATTGACATGGCAAACTCGCGGGGTGTCAAGAGTTTGAGCGGGTATCGTCTTGTCAGCACGCCAGGTATTGGCCAGATGTATTTGTCAAATTACCTCTTACCACGACACATGCTGCAGCTAATAGCGACGCTTGATCTTCATAATCTCGAGTAGCATCGTCCAACGTATCCTCATAATGCCAGAAGGGGATATATCACTTGGCGCCTCTCGCACGCATGTGAGCACAAATATCGACCTTTTCACACACTGAGATCGCGGCTACTCGTGGCCTTGCGCTGGTGTAAGGCCATTTCGTCAGGGACAAGCGGGGTCTCCTCGACCAAAAAATAGCTGAACTGGATCTGATTCTTGAGCGTCGCGTTCCGGCGAGCGACACTTTTCATCTCCCTCACAACAAGGACCTGCCGTGCCATGCCCATCTAATTCTTAGGGGTTACATTAATGCCGCCATGGTATTATGCTCCTCCTCGAACGGCACCACCAGCCCGTCTTCATCGACGTCTGCAACTAAGGGCTTTTTTCTTTTGAACAAGAAAATCAAGACGAAGAAGCTGTGATGAATGTTGCGCACCACGTTAATGTTAAGCAAGCCCGTACTCGTTCTGCAAAGGCGGTATCCTGCTTCCGCCTTACGAGCTGCCTCGCGAGCCGCTTCTTCTCTTAGGGCCTCCTCCGCCATTTGCTACTTAAAATAAGCTGTCTTGTAAATGCAAGTCATAGCGCTGGGCCTTAGTCTGGATACGCTCTTGCGTGGAAGAGCTGTTGCGTGTCCGTGCTCCTCCTGGATGTGTGACTGGTAGAAGAAAGAAATACAAAACCGAATGAAAAGCGCGATAACACCAGCTTCGTGCTCTCTTCAGAAACATCATCCTCTTCATTTTCCTCTTCTAGTTATTAATCTTCCGCCTCTTGCTCCGTGCTTCTTCTGCATTGTTGCCACCTCCAGCACTCCATTTCCGTCTCTCCGTCCAGCGAATCGTCGTCTTGAGCGACTGCGTGAGGGTCAAATGTTCAGGTCGCTGGTACAGCGCGGCTACGGTGGTACCGTAGTCGAAGGCACTGAGCACTGACAGACCACGTCATTCTGGCAAATTACAACAGCTCGCACTTCCATTAATCTCGGTGGGGACAGTAAGTCAGCGAGATCGTCCTCGCAAAAGTTAGTTGTCGCCAAGCTTTAGTTGTAGCATAGTCCGAAGTACACAGGTATCAGTAGTCTAAGCAGTAATATTTTACTCCCACTTGATCGCCACCATCTCCATCACTTTTGTTGGAGCAAAGTATTCACATCAACAGCAGTAGTCAAAGCAGTAGTCGTAGGAATAGTTGCAGTAGTTGATTTAGCACCTTCATTGCGCACAATAGGCAGCATCTTCATCGCATTTAGAGCACGTAAAACCTCACCACAGCAAGCTCTTTCGTCATGATATCGACCACCATCGCGTCAGTGCTAATGTGCTGCTTCATTTGGCGCTTTAGTTTCACGCCCCGTCTCACCACATGACACTCGTTGTCATTACGTTTTAACTTTGACTACTTGTCCGGTTTCGCAGTCAGAGCAATAGCTCCTTGGTTGTCTCCAGGCAGTAGAGTACTGGGGCTTCCAGCTCGAGTCCTGCCATTGGTCAGCGAGCCATAGTAAGTCATTGTAACGCATTCAGCTTCGCAAGTGCTAAGTGTATTGTTCTACGCGAGGTGCGTAGTTGATGACATTGTCATCCAACATAGTGATGTAATCACTGATACTCCGCCTATCCACGGGCCATTCGAGTAGCCAGCGTCTGAGTTGCCACAGACGCACGACAGGTCATTTCCTTACAGCCATCACTAGTCCATAGTCGCATGTTTCTTTCAGGTAGTGCAGCAGCCTCTTTGCTTGTGTACAATGCGTGTAATCGTAGCTCGCAAGGTACTTGGTCAGATGTCGGGTAGCATAAGCTATATCTGGTCTCGACCGACTAACGAGGTACTGGAGAGCTCCCACCAGTTTTCCGTAGAAAAGGTATCCCTTCGTAGCAAGCACGTCTGCTTTCGAGGACGTTGTAGCTGACAATATACGCTATATGAAAGAGCTTCAACAAATCCCATTCGTACTGCCTATGGTAGTACACGATCTGCCGGCGTGGCCGGTCAACCAGGCTCTCGACGCCTATGAGGTACGTGACTGTGTCCATGGACGTCCGTTCGAATGTCTCTTGCAGTGATCCAGTGATCTTGGCGCACAGGTCACGCGGACCCATTAGTAACCAATTGTCCACGTAGACAGTCAAAAGCCGCTTGACCTCAGGTCATATAGGCCATAGACAGAGTCCGTCCTTGTAAAGCCCTTCGCAACAAGCTTCGCATGCAGCGTGCGATTTCAAACTTTCGGCGCTTAATTTAGTCCATAAAAGCTCTTCAACAATCTGCAAATGAATTCAGGTCCATCCACCTGGAAGCCAGCGGGGCTGCTCCATGAAATAAGTACGTCCAAGTTTCCAAACAAAGTAGCCTCTTCACATCAAATTGCAACACCTCCCAACCTCGTTGTACGGCATAAAAGATATCTGCACGAATGATCTCGAACAGGATAAATGCGCGCAAGTCTCAGAGTAGTTGATTTGCTTGAATCGGTTGATCAAAAGACGCGCCTAAAGTCTATTAATGCGTCTCGTTCGTATCGCTTCGCAACGAAGACCCGATCGCCTTTACTTTCTACGCCTCCTGTACCCACCCATGAGCAACTCGCCTCAAAAGTGGTGCAGCTTCCAGCTTCTGTCCCAGCCAGGAACCATTTGCCTCAAAAATGGCGCAGCCTTCATCTTCCACGGCTGCCAAGAAGCAAATCTACCAGCTCATCGTACATTCGAATGTCGAATCGTCTATTAACCAGTGTGGCACTTCTGGCGAGACGCGCGATGATGTAGCTGTTAATGGTAGCTCTTTTGCGGAGAAAAATTAAAAAGATTGGAGCCAGCTCAGCCCTCAAGTTAAATGTCGAGCTGTAACGACCGATGGCGCATGCTGAGCTTGGCTTCCTGCTGCATCGTAGTGGGAAACGATGGTCTAGTTTAAGCTCAAAGACGCATTGGAGACACTGCCAAGCAAGAAACATCATCGAACGAATGTCTTTTCAAAATTTAAAGAGATAGTGTGACAGTACTGGTTTACGAATACGGCGTCGCAATTACCAGATCACAAGATCTGGACACGTTTAAGGAATATTGGATGTGTCCAGTGCAAGCAGACCAAGTTGAAGTATCAGCAGCAGCTGAGAATGTCCCAAACGATATCGGTTTTTTTAGGCTTCAACAAGAATAGGGACGTGGATTTCAAGCAGAGCATGTGGTCTGGCGGATGTGAACCCCCTTTATAACACGTAGCTTGAATCGCTCAACATGGGAGGACGCTATAATGCAGCCCCCACTCATTGTTATGGCGGATCCACTGCAGTTTGCGGAATCGCAATTGGACGACACATATCGAGTCTGGTGCTGTCAGCAAACGCTGCGCTGGATTGTGCGAGGTTTAGCCTATAAACAGCTTTGCCGGGATTGAGAAGCTTTTAATCGTTGGCAAGAGGATCGCTGGCGCCGTCTGAATACACGCTAAACGATTATCGAGGCCTTTATACAGAACATTGCTCCACCATCGCCAAGTATGGTGGCAGATCCTTGGCTCAGACTTGAAACGTGGACGGCTTTAGGCACGGAAAGGGTTGCTTCAGGCAGAGCTCCGTTGGCGGAAATCAAATTTTGAAGTCATTTGGCTCCTTCTCCACCGCGGTAGGCTTCTTCTTTGTTCTGCTCTTTACGCGCTTCCTCGTATTGAAACTCTACTTCATTCTGCAACAGGCTCTTGCAATTTAGCTGATGGTTCAACACTAACACTCCCCACGCTGTCTTCGCTCACAGCTGAATTCGTGATTGATACTACATAGTACGGCCTCGACAGAGTAATCAGCAAGTGGTGCAGTCTCAAGTGACCTTTCCGCACTGGAAATTATCCGTGCAGGTCTTGATGCGTGTCACGTTCACAGTATCGGTAGCATATGATCGCCACAAAAAAATCATTCTCTAACAGGTGCTTCACGTAGTAGAGCAATACCATTTGCTCGCTCTGCGATTTTGCTTCTTTCCTGTGGCGAGTACGCGTTCTTAAACTGCTCCTCAATCCCATGATCGGCACAGTAGTCACTCAGCTCCTTGCTTGCATATTCTCCTCTTGGTCAGAGCGTGGTCGTTGCACTTTCTGGTCAGATAAACGTGACCGCATCCAGTTTAACAGGACTTTGACGTGGTACGTCGTTTCTTTCTTCTTCTTGAGCAGGAACAGCCACCAAAACCTTGTAGCGTCATCAATAATAAGTT